TTACAAGTTGATGCTTTTCTTTACTCGCTGTGAAAGGAACCAGAGGTAGCCCCACTTTGATTTAGGGTTTGGGATTCGGTGCCATTGTCCGTATGGCGACGGGGTGTGGGGGGGGGGGGGGGGTGAGTTTCACCATGATGACTGCCTAAACGCATGCCCCCCAGCACTATGCAGGGCATGTTTTTCTCAGGTGCTCGCTCAGTGGTTTTCTCTGGTTCATGGGTGTTGTGAGGCTGGTGAGGCATGGTCATCGCCGTGACAAATGCCGTGTTTCTTGGCAGTGCTTGCCCCTGCCCTGCCGACATCTGCCTGTGACAGGCGCTGTTGCGGCTGCTGCGGGCTATGCTGGAAACTGCCCCTGGGCTGGTGGGGGAGGTTTCATGCCATGGTGAGAGACCATTTTTTTTCAGACTCAAAATGTCAAACCCAACAAATCCCATACTTCCTGAAGAAGGCGTTCGCAAAACAGACCCTAAGTGTCCATGCGGGGTGCTGTGGTAGTGGGGGACGAAGCGGCCAAGGAGGGCCTGCGTCGGAAGTAATTTAGCCAGGATGGCGGGAGTGCTTGCTGACCAGCAGTTACAGCCGTTTCAGAAGTTTCAGGGAGATAAACTAAATTGTAGGTATGATCCCCCCCTTGCTTCATGTGTTGCTTCTTGACGGGGCCATCATTTGCACCTAGACAGTCTTCTTGTTCATCGACAGGGTTGCATCAGGGCCGCAACTGCTTGCTGCAATGGTTGGCGCAAATGAGCCCACCGTGTAGTGAATTTGCGGGTGAATGTACCCAGGGTTAAGTTGCGTTGCTCCTTGGCAGTCCCTCTGAAATGTAAACTGCGGGCCAGCTGGGGCCCCGCCAGAGCCTCTTGTGCAGGTGGCTCTTGGGCACATGTTTGGCGCCTCTCAGGAACAGAGCCTCCATGATGCAGAAGGCCGCCGGTGGATGGGATGAAGTAAAGGGCCCCCTCCCAATGCTCTGTTTGTTGCCTTGCTTTTTCCAATTTCAAGGCATCGCCAGGAGTTGTTGCCCACGCTCCTTGGGCTGCAGAGATGGTTCAAGCCCCCTGGTCGTAGGTTCTTGAGGGGGCCGATTGAAATTACGGGCGCTCCGGGGCAGATTCTGGGGCTGAGCGTAGAATATGGAGGCATCAAGGTATTTAATGGCTGACAGTGACTTCTTGCCTTTGATGTCGCTGGGTAGAAAATCTCTCTTGTTCTGAATGGATCGAAGACGACTGACCTGTCTGCCATCACACTGGGTTCTCCCTACACCCCCCCAAATCCACTCAAATCCACTCAAATCCACATCATCCTGCATTTCTCCGGTCTTGGAGGTGTTCAGGGTGCCAAGGATCCCTCAGCTGCCGCGGAATCTACCAGCTAAATCTTTTCAAAAACTTGCCAAATCTACCATTCCATTCAACCTCGAAAATTCATGGCGTTTGAGATCTATTTCTGTTTGGCCCTTGAGATCACGTGGCAGTGACGCACTGATTTACAGAGGCTTCCGCGTCCGTCCGTCGAAAGTGAACGGTCTGTGGCTTTCAAATGGCCAGGTATTAGACCAAGCCCAGGGTCAGATACATAAACCCAACAAACAATGTCGCAAAGTTGAATGGAGCGCAAGGCTCAACGCTACCGAGTTTTTCCGCCTCTCCTCGTTCCGACAGGCGAGCCATCGGCACTGGGCAGCTCGGCCGCGGCTGTCTTCCAGGAATTGCTGAAGGCGAGAACCGGAGCTGCGCCTTTCCCAAAGTGGTTGGAACAAACACCAATCCGAGTCGCCATTAATTTTGGGGCAAGCTGAATTATCAATATTTTTGCAGTTTTCAGGAGAACAGCGGAGATGAAGCGGTCCGAAGTTGTCCAAAGGAGTCGACGCAGTCAAGCGCAGTCAACTAGTGCTTCTGTGGCTATGGGAAGCACGCCTGCAAAGTTTTTTTCAGCGGATGTCTTGCTGCTGGCACTGGGCAGGGCTGCTTGGCTGTTGTTGTTTTTCCTGGTGCATTGGATGAATTGGGCGAGACGCGCTGACCCAAACTGCCTGGGCTTGAAAATCCTACTTGAACGTATGCTTGCCCAAAAAAGTGCCGCATGCTGGTGATGTCTTCAACCTGTTTTAGCAGGCTAAAGGCTTTGCGTTTGGTGCTTGGTCTTGGGTCATATTGGTAGGGCCCTTGATTTAAGAGCCAATGGGTGTTGCCATGTTTGCCACGGTAGAACTGCACCCATTCGGCTGCCTGCCTCCGCTCTGGGTTGCAGGATTCTCTGATGCCAAGACGAAGTGGGCAGATGGCGACATGTTTATTCCGCTGGAAGTTTTCCGGTTGGATTGAGGAAACGTCTCCGCAGGTCTTGGAGCAGACGAGGCACGCGAAGCTGCTGAGCGAGATTGTGCCGACGTTGGCGGCTGCGGCCAGCAGCGCGCCGCAGGACTTCAGCAACTTCTTTGAGGAGATGGGGGGGGGTTTGGGGGGGTTGGGCTGGCACATGGGGGATGGGGGCAGGTTGGGCGCCAAGTTCCTTCCCACAACCAGCCCAGGCGGCCCCTCTTGCAGTTCCCCCCTTCCGTCAGCCTAACACGAAATCAAACTCAAGACAGGCCCTCCACACCCATTCATCCGCAGCCACCCGCTGTGCCAAACCATTTGGCACAAAGGGCTTGAGTGCATTATGTTCATGCACGGCGGGGATTCCCAACAAAAGAAACGGGGCACAGGAACCTTCATCATGAGGCCCGTCACAAACCAAGCCCGTTGTGAGGTCATTTGCCTGGCCCAATCGTCCACTGCTGGGTCCATTACAGTGACATCCTCAAAATCTTGTCTGGGTCGCAAACATGATTTTGAGAAGGGACCCCCCAAAATGTAGCCACTTTGGGGCCAGGACTCGTTGAGGCACCACGACCGAAGTTTCTTCATTTCACACATGCTGTGTGGCCTGATTCGTTGCTGTGCCAGGGGGGGCACACTGACAATCGGGGCTACCCATTGAGATTGCCAGGCTCAGTATGTGTTGCCAACGCCATTCGCCTTGGGCAGGACTCTGTGGATTTTCTCCTTGGCTGGGCTGCTGGCACAGGAGCGCACAGACTTGGGAGTCGGGGCTGGAGGTTCGCAACTACCCCGAATGCTCAAGGGGCTGTGTAGCGCCTATGGGCCCTCTTGGGGCAGCTGGCTTTTGAAATGCTTGTCAGGACTGTCCGACGACCAGCGCATCCTCATCAACTCCGCCTTTGCTTCCTTCGGCTGCCTGTGGCGTGACGCACCTCGGATGCAGCTGGGCATACTCGCTTTGGGTGTTTGCCGGGAGTAAAGATGCTCGGATGTGAATGATTTGCGCTCTTTCGGACCGGGGGAGCTCCCAGCAACTATTTGGACCGGGGACGATGTCCAACAGAAGGCCACCAGAAGGGCTTCCCACTTACCATGGGTATGGCCAGCTTTCACTGAGGAACGGCACCATGCCTTCGCCTTGAACCTCCAAAGGAAGGTTTGGGCTCCGGGCGGGTGGGAGGGACACGTTGAGGCAGCCTTGTTCGGGGCCTGGGTTGATGGACAACGAAGGCGGGTACCTTCGCAGCAAGCAAGCTGAACATGCAACCAGCGGAACGGGAAGACGTAGTGAATGAAGCAGGCCACAGTGAAGCCCCCCTTCCCCATGGAGCCATTGCCAGGCTCTAGGTTTTGGCCAATCTTGGGTCAGTAGTCCGGCTGGCATTTTCTTATTTCCCTTGAACGTGCGGTGGCCATGCATAGTCTATCTCGTCAGCTTTTGCAATTGGCTTATGTTATCCCTGGGCACTTCAACTTGTGTGCTAGATGTTGACGGAGAACACAAATGGGCCCGTCAAATTTGGCATCCACGAAGGTTTAGTTCACTACTGTACGGGGCCTCCATGTAGCAAGCCAAACACCTCTCGAAATCACCCAGGCTGCACGCCAAGATGTCATCCAAACACGTGCTGCCTCGACGGACGCCGGAGGCTTCCGCTCACCCCGCTCGGTAGACCAGCCACTTCCATTTTGGACTTTTGAAGGCGGACCATGCCAGCCTTCAGCCTTCTTGTTCCTCACCTATTGTGAAGCCGCAGTCCTAAGCAGGGCTTACATTTTGATCACTGTCGCGTGGGTGGTGCCAGGTGGTGGCGGATTTGCAGAAGCTGGCGGAGGACCCCACCCAGGACTTGGAGGCGCTGCACGCGCTGGTCTTCTGCTTCTACGGCATCTCTGTGGCCATCGGGACCGGGTCCCGGCAAATATCCTCTCCCCCCCCGCCCCCCCCGGCTAGGCGGCACGTGCTTGAAGTGTGTGCCCCGGGCAGGTGGGCTGGCCGAGGCGTCAAGGCAAGAGTCCTGCGAGGTAAGTCGTGCGATGGGCTCAGCAGATTCCAACCAACTGGCAGAGTCAGATAAGAGCTCGGGCTTTGAGCCGCTTCCGGAGACTTTGAGCGGTTGGCACGGGCTAATTCATACCAAGAATTGGTCTTTGGGCGAACGCAGAGACAGCAACGTTTTTCATTGCACAACTCGCAGATCAAAGCCTTGAATTGGACCATGAGTTGCTTTGACTTCTGGGCAAGCTGACTTTTGGCTTTATATCTTTCAGCAACACTCCAAGAAAGCTCCAATCCCCCACCTACAAACAATCGGGAACGTTTGAACCCCACCCCCCCCCCCCGCCCCCCAGATGTAAGGGGGCATATGTTTTTGGAGGGATGGGTTGCAGGAACCTGGGGGAGCACTACGGGCTCATGGCGCCCGCGTTGCTGCGCTGCATCCAGCACTCCGTGGAGCTCAGCGGGCTCGGGAGCCAGTGGGGCCGCCGGTCCATGGCAGCTATCGGCCGCACCATCCACCACCTGAGGCTGCGCCAGTGGCCGCAAGCGGCCGGGGCGTTTTTGTGACTGTGTGAAGGGCGCAGTGGCTGTGAAGTACCAAGGGGTGGCGGTTGAGCTGAGGCGCTCCCAGCTGGTTGTTCCAGGATAGACTTTCACAGAGCTAGATGTGTTCGATCACGATGAGGCTTTCGCGCAACTCCCGCCAAGATCAAGGATGCTCGAGTAAGCCTGCATTTGCCCGAGAAATGCTTTGATACAGACGGGTTTCGCAAAAGGGGAGACATCTCCATTGCCGTGGTCATCGGTGCAGCTGCTCTTGCGGTCAGTAGCGATGGTCATGACCCCTTTGATTTGGACTTGTGACATTTCAGACTGCCATTCTGAAGACACCAAGTGAGTTGGAGAAACATCCCTGCGATGTGGGCCTCCGCAGCCCACCGCAGACCCTGCCACCAATTATGGAAGCTGCCGCTTACTCTTGTTTTACTCCTGCCTATGTCCATGATTGTTGGCAAGCGGGCAGCAAGACATGACAGGCGCATGGCCGATCCCTACCACTTTCCGCCCTCGTCCAACTCCTGAACAGGCCACCCGGCCAAGGTGTGTCTCGGTTCACTTGGCCGCCCTCACGGCAGCGGCTGACGCCTCTGCAGCGGTGGAGGCAAGGTGGTGTTTGGACTGCGTTTTGCACTCAAGCGACAAGGACAATTAAGTGCCATGGCTCAGGCATGAACACATGACCCGGGATAAAGGATGCTGCTTGGAAAGCGCACGACACTCGTGGTGTTTGGTCTTCGGAGCCATCTAAGCACAGGGCAAGCCACAAATCCTCCCAGGTTTTGGCCGGGTCGTGGGAACACCTTTCGAGGAACACTCTTTCGGGGTGGTATTGGAGTGGTATGCGAGGTGGGTACCTTGAATCTGGCAAATGCCGGCTGAGCTCGATAGCACTACCACGAGTCAGTGCACTGGTTTTTAGTGCTGCTGTGCGATCATTTTTTGGTCGGTCATAGATCGCGTACTAGGCCGTCACAGTCGGGCCAGGAGTGTTTTCTGCCGGGATTTTGTCATAGATAGGTCTGATGAAGGCCTTGCTTGCCCATCTTGCCCGTTTGCCTCACCTCGCCAAGCCCCTCCCGGTTGAAGACACGACTAATATATCTGTGCAACGATTGTCGCACGCCAGCTCGCACCGGCTTGGAGTCTGGAGCCTTTGGGCCCCATGCCTGGCTCCACGCCCTCCATTCCCCTCGCCCTCTCCAACCCATCCGCCGCTCCTCGCGCCGGCAGGTGGTGCGGAGCGAGACCTTCCGCCTCGCGCGGGGCCTGAAGGACGCGGAGCTGCAGCAGCTCTGCGAGGCCACCTGCCAGCAGCTGCTCCAGCGGGAGGCGGGCCGCGCAGTGGTTGGGACCTGGAATCGGGTCTCCGACCCGGTTGTCCAGTGGTTTCTTTGGGTTTGCCTGTGAAAAGCATGAGCCCCGCCCCCTGTGGAGTTTTTTTTGAAACGACGATTCCGCTGGCAAATTTAATGGAATCAAAACCAAGAAAGAACCCGTGTATGTTCAAGCAAACAGCCAGAAAGGGCTCCTATGGGCCATGCGGGCGGGGGAGTGCTGGCACAGAGTTCGGAGAGAGGAGGCGGAAGGGGAAGCTGGTGAGTCGCAAGAGCTGCAGAAAGGCAGGCTGTTTCCCTCAAGGTATTTGCAGACTGTTTTGTTTGTGGATGTTGCACCTTGTTTTTCTTGATTGTACTTTGATTGTTTTTTTGTCTAAAGTTATGTCACTCTCCTATGGCCTGCTGCTGAGGTAAACCCGCCATTGTTGCCAAGCTTTTTCAGGGCACCCCGGCTGCCGACTGGGGTCAGCACCAGTCATTGTAAAAAGCAAACGCAATCCTTCCATGTTTCGTTTGGACATGGACGGTTCCTTGCAGCCAGTCGAATTTGGAGAAAAGTTTCGGGAGCTCGCGCCAGGAGCTGCAGGAGCAGTGCCTGGAGCTGGTGCTTGGGGAGCTGCAGGACAAAAGGGAAGCGCCAGTCTGTCATTCCATGGCTCCACGGGAGTTTGGGGCTTTGGGCGGGAGAGGGGTTGCCGCTTTTTTGTGTGTTTGTTTTTCGTGTTCGAAGTTCGGAGTCCGGTCGACGCAAAGCAGGCTTCCCGCTGTTTTGGGCACTAAAGATGGTGCCCGACCAGTCGGAAGAACTCTTTAAGCACAACATGACAGCCCGCGCACCAGGTGCCACAGCTGTCATCTCTTCTCAAACAAGCTTGTCCGTCCGGTCAATTGAGTCAGTGCTGGGCTACGAGTGCTTGTGCTTTCCCTTTTGGTTGCGGCCCTATTTGAGCCTTCCGGCTTTCAGATGGTTGTCCGAGCCTTGTTTGATTTTCAGATGGTTGGGGACACATGTCAGATGTCAGGATGTTCCCGTTTAGGCTCAAACGGTTCGCCTTTCTGCGTTACCCACCTGTTTGTTCAGGCTGCGTAATGTATTTGTATTGCATGCTGTTGCACGCCATGCAGATTCAAGAGGCAATTGAAATGTTGAATTCGCCCCTTCCTTTCGTCCTCCCTCCAGTTTGGCGAAAAGTGTCCTACCTCGCAAAGGGCTCTCACACTTTTGGGGCATGATCCGTGTTCTGGGCAAGCCTAGGAAGTCAGGAACGAACCATGGTCTTGGACACTCGGGTTTTCGTCACTTTCTGTGCCCATGGTTGTCAAGGGCCCCGGGACTCGGGTTCCTGTGGCTTTCAAAGAGGTTGCGGGGGCACGCGATCTGTCAGTTCGGCTCAGGAGGCGCAGGATGCCCAGCTGGGTTTCAGCCACCTACGGCTGCTGAGCTCGCAGGAACTGTCGCTGGCGCCGGAGCAGCAGGCGATCGTGGCGCAGCACCTCAGGCGAGGGGGGACATGAAAAAGTGAAAAACCGGGAGACTTTTGCAAAAGAATGGAAGGCGGGGTTGGGGCCAGGGGCTTTCTCCTTTCTGAAGGACTTTTCTTCCAGGTATATGTAGAACCGCAGGTGCGCATGCGTAGGTTTTAACAGATGCGCTTTTGCCAAATGAATTTGCATTCATGTTGGCAACTTTGAGGCAGGGCCAAGGTCATGGGGGCCATTTGGTCACAGCCCGGGCGGGTATTTGCAATCTACGTCTTGCTTCTGCAACGCCGCCTGCCTGAGCCTGAGCGCTGGGGTTGCTAAAGGGGATTTGCTCACCATTGATGACTTCGTAGCCTACACGCTTCCTTGCCATGGGCGCAGTCAGGATGGTTTGATCCTTTGGGCCTCAGCTCTTTTCATTCCAGTGTACCTATGCACGTTTTGGAGTCGGACAGCAACCAGGCCCCTTGAGTTCCCTGTTTTGATTGGTATCTTGCTTTTGCAGGCGCTAATCCATTCCTCATATTGTCCCCATGGTCAGGAGACAGCTTGGTTTCATGGTGCCCACCCCATTTTAGTTATTTGGTTTTTCTAGTATGTGCGGGCTAGGTGCTGCAACCGCCGCGTTTCGGGAGGCCACTCTGCGAAACTGCCGCGGCCGCCGAGCCCTGCCGCGCGCTGTCGGTGGCCTTGGGGGTCTTGCAGCTTCTGCCCGACGAGGAGGGTCAAAAGTTGGCCGGCTCGCCCAGTCGGCGACTCGCACGCTGGTGGTAGGCTTCTTTGGGCCAAAAACTTAAGAAGCGCTTGCCTTTCTGGTTGGCTTGGTCAGAGTGAGCAGTTGAGGCCTGGAACGGCGAGATGAAGTGTCACATTAGCGTCCACTTGGCTAGCCTGTGGGCACTCTGTTCGTTGTATTTCTTTGTCCTTGGCATGTTTCTTGGTGGGGGCTTCGGGTGTGCTCTGGCACTTGGGCAGCTGGATTGGCATATCAGACTTGTGTCTTGCACGTGTGCTTAGTTGGAAATCAAACAGCTGACGCAACTCGAAGTTGGACAGTCGCTTTAGTTGACTTCTGCACCAGGCCACCCATGAGAAGGAATGCCGTTTCTCAACAACCAGCGCACTTGAGAATGAACGTTTGTGCTTCTCTTGCCGCCAAAGCACAGCAACAAGAATGTGCTTTGCTCTCCCACGTTTTCCACGCACTGTCCATGCAGGACGTGGAGTGGCTGGTGGAGAAGTCAGCGCAGCTGGCGCGGCGTGGGCAGGGGCTGGCCCTGTTGCAGGCACGGGTTGGCTGGGAGGTGGGGCGTGCGTGGCTTGGTGGTGTTGCGTGCGCAGCACCCTGATGCTGCGTTTGGTTTCTGAACGTGTATTTTTTGAGAGGGGTGGGTTTGGTAGGTGCGTGCAGCTCTATGAGTTTTTTTAGTTTCTTAGGCAGTTTCTTTTTGGCGGAGGCGAGCAGTGCCTTTTCAGCTGCAACTTTGGGCCAGGCTATCATTTGCATGCTTGGTGCTAAGTCCTTGTCGGGCACAGTCACATTGTCAGGTCAGAGACAAAGTGTTTTGAGGAACCTAAGGATTGAGGCAAAGAAAGAGCTCTGTGCGGAAAGCGACCTTGACTCACGTTTGTAGCGTTTCTAGCTGTTCCAGTTCCCAGCTTGGATCTGGCACATCGGCGCTCACTTAGAAGCTTGAACTCCCCAGCAACCAGGATGGAGCCCATGGCCTGTTACATTGCGGAGGAGCAAGCGAGGTGCCCCCTGTAGCATGGACAGCAGCATTCCCAGCCGAGAACTGAGGCTTTCGCCAAGTGCCCTGAGATCTTCTGGCGCTGCTTTGAGGGGCGGCTGGGCATGTGGGACCGCACCTTCCAGGACCCGGGGTCGGGACGGGTAGGACTTGGGAGAGAGGGAGGGGGGCCAGTGGCCAGTGCCAGATCCCGCGGTGAGTAAGGTACACTGCTGAAATTCGCAAAAGTTGGCCATGATCCATTTGGACAAGAGAAAGGAGTACGCACAAAACTCCGTGGGAGGGCATTTGGTCCGTCCTGTCAGGAGGCGGAAGTCCAGGTGCTGGCGGAAGTTCTGCTGGCGCTGTGGCTCCCTGGCGGCGTGTGCTGGGCAAGGGCTTTCGACTGGGTCAGGTCAGGGTCAAGGGGTTGTGCTCAGAATGTTACCTGGGGGCAATTTCCATTTCAATCACCATTAAGAGGGCAAGTTTAATGATGTCACTTTCATGACCCTAGCTCGAAGATGGCGGGGTGTGAAGCCCAGCCCCGCCCGAGAACTATGGAAGGAACCAAGCTTACTGCAACAGGGAAGGATGCTTCTTGGGCGCTTTTTGGAGAGCTCGGATTCCTGAAGAGGAGCTATGGACCCTGCTTGTTCAGAACGGGGGTGCTTTAGACTACGCATTGGATGGCGGGGCCCATGATTGATGTCCGTTCCTTTTCTCCATCGCAGGTACCACAAGCAGCAACTGGAAGTTCGAGGCCCCAGCTCCCAACATGTCTCCACCATTTCTCACCGGTCCAAACCTTCCACAAGGATGACGCCACTCTTCGCAGGCCCGGCCCGGCAGCTGGCGCGGCGTTGGCGGAGTGTGTGGGGCCACGCCTCTGGGAGCTCGGGGGCCTGAGGGTGGCCTTGCCGCAGCGGGCGCAGCTGCGGGCGCGGCTGGCGGCCATGGAGGCAGTGGCTCGTTTTTGTGGGGGTGCCCTGCTTGGGGTTTTGAAGGGGGGCCAAAGGTGAAACCAGCTGTTTAGGGGGAAAACAGCCCAACTAGGCAAAGGGGCAAAAGCAACCTGCCAGATTCATGGAGCATATGCGCCAACGTGCGATGTCCCTGGTGCAAGTGCGCAATTGTGGACTGCCGTGGCTGCAAGGGAAGGTCAGGGCAAAAGCGCACAGCCCGCATGTTCGAGCCACAGGTAGTGGCACACTTGATGGCCGCCACCCCGATTGTTTTGTTTTTGGTCGGTTTGACTTGTCAGGGCAAACATGGGGGTTGTCGGCTTGGGCTTGGGATCGTCCCTCTGACGCCGCGCCAAGCAGGGAATCTTGAATCTTGAATCTTAGCCCCAAATGTGCTTTAAAGCGCTTTTAAAGCGTTTTGGGGGGTCGCATACTCGACACAAGATTCAAGATCTAGAGTCTAGAGTTGTGGGAATCTTGAATCTTGAGCCTTGGATCCAAGCGCGCTTTAAAACGCTTTAAAGTCTCCGCTTTCAGTCATTCTTGTTTAGGTGTAAATGTTATTATCCATTTTGACTTGTGCGCGGTAAATACGGGTGATAGTTCAGCATATGGACTACACTTTATTTTTTAGGCTTAAGAAAGTCCACACACAAACCCTGGGATATTGAGCAAGCACCGCAAATACCAGTGTTTTGCATGCTGTTTAGCCAGCTTTTGCGCAGAATTTGTTTTGATCAGGGACATTAGTTGTTTTAGCAGACAGCGTTGCATTGGTCAGGGCATATGGGGTGTGAGCAGGTGTTTTGGTATTGGCCAAGTTTTGTGAGCTGACAGACGAAGTTGGCCGATGAGTTGAGATGAGAGATGGAGGATGCGTAGCAGATCTTTTGGTATTTCCGCAGGTTTGTAAGTTGACACGCACACAGAGGATTTGCACATCAGCTGAGATGAGAAATCGAAGAGGTGTAGGCGAAGCAGAAGCCGGTACCCTAACAGAGAAGTTTTACAGTCAATTGAGCGAGGATAGCAGTAGCGATGAAGACTGTGCCAGAACAAAGTTTCTCTGGGGCCACTTTCCTGACTGCGACCGCTTTGAGGTGTCGCTGCCGGTGCCTGCGGCCGCGGGTGCCGCGGCATTGCGGAGCTCGCTGAGTGCGTTGGGGGGCGACAGCCTTGCGGCGCTGCTGCGGGCGCTGCGCACCGGGGACGCGAATGGTTCCGTGGGGGGGGAAAGCTGGAGGTGGGATTTTTTGGCGAGTGCTGAAGGTTTGGGTGGCTTGGTGATTTGGAGGGTTTGGAAGGTTTGTAGGGTGCTTGGGTCCCCAACCGCTGCGCATTTCATAAGAGCGGCTGGGAGGACCTTGTTCAAGCGCATCCCAAGAGGGCTCCTCTGGCCACCCTTGACGGCTGGTATTCTGTTCCGTGTCTCACATCCCATGCCCACCTGATGCGGAGAAGGGAGGCCCCTTGGCCCATGTAAGGCAGCGTGAGCCCTGGCACCGCGGGCAGCTTCAGCGACTTTCTGTCCACGATGCTTTCGGCCTCTCCAGGCGTTTTGTTTGGCCGCTGTGTGGTGGGCCCCCGGGAGTCGGAGCATGCGTTGAAGCGTGAAACATGTTTTTCGCAATGCGTTCAAGATTCATACAGGCTTGTTTTGGGTTTCGGAATTCAACGGCCATGCCGAAATGCAAAGAACAAGGCTGTCTGACTTGAGCAAGGATGAAGGATGAGGCCTGGTCCAAACAGGGTGGGGCAACAAGGAGATCTTGCTTGAGGCGGTCCGGAGATTTTGCGGAATGTGTTCAACGTCATGTTTAAGCTGTCAGTCCTTTTGGGGAGCAGCATTTTTCCACTCTAGCCCTAGAGTTGTGCTTGTTGAACACCCACCAGAGACCAGCAGTTTTCAGGCAGGGAAAATTAGGTCAACCGCCGTCTCACCTATGATTTGGGAAATGCCGGACACTGGGTTAGTCAAACTTGTTTGAACAGACTGCTGGGGAGTGGCTTTGAGCACAGGCAGCTCCAGATGCTCTCGGTGGATAGGTAAACTCGCGCAACATTTGTGGTGCAGTCTTATCCCAACAAGCCACCATTTGCAAGTTCAGCGTTCAGTCAAGTCATATCTGGGGATGGTTAAACGGTTTCCCGGCCACACCGGCCACACAGGCGATTCAAGGAACTGCATGTTGCCCCAAGCCCATGCTTGCACGTGCGCTTGTATGTTTGTTGGATTCTTGCGGTCCAGCGCAGAAAGTCCGCAGGCGCGGTGCCTGGGAATCTGAAGACGCTGTGGCTGCTGCTGCGGGCGGCTGCCTTTTTCGTTTCCCACCGCCTGAAGTCTCCCTTCGGTTCAGCCTCTGAGAGTGCCTTGGCTCACGAAGGCCGCCCACCGATTCCTCGCCAAGACCCCAAACGCGGCTGGCCGCAGGTCGGTCGTGATTTTTTTGAGACGCCGCCCAAAAAGGGTGTTGCTGCCCCCCAGCTTCTTCAGAGTGGTAAACCAGGAGGATAAATCATGAAATGCTTCCCACAAATGTGGAAGATCTCCTTTGCCTCAACTAGTCGTGAGAGGGCTTAGTTCTGGGTTCTGGCAAAAGACACGCCTTACCCAGCGGCGAAAGGGCCGATACAAGCTCCCTTGGAGGTCCAACCCAAAAGGTCGAGAGAGGTCGGGATGGGTTGCCCCAGTGCCATTTCGAGGGACCCGTTCTCAAAGTTTCTTTTGGGAGCTGGTGGCTTCCCTTCCAACCATGGAGACACAAGCCACACCACAAACACACGGAGTTCATTATAAGGATGTTTCTGCATTGGACCCAGGTTGAGTGAAGTGTGCTACAAAAAACAATGTTTGGCGATGAATGGTGCTGTAGTCAAACCCAAGGCCAAGGACTTCTTAGAGATTTCCATCACTAAGGCCTGCAGCTTTTGGACACCATGATCGTGGAATCCTCCGGCAAGGCTGGGCTTTGGCGGGTCGTTTCAAAGGATGCCATACCCAGGATGCCCTACCCGGGCCTGTGGTCGCTTCTTGGTTTTCCTTTCTTTGGAGGCAGGTTCAGGGCAGCTATGAACCACATGTAGAACTCCGAGCCAAAAGCACCCTGAGGTCAAACTAATGACCCTGTGAACCGGAGCCAAAAGCTCGCCCTAGACATGGTGTTTTGCCCATGCGTCGGCTCCACGCGTGCCAGGTGGCCCAGAAGGTGGCCGAAGCCCTGGCCAGGACTGGGGATGGCGCCTGGCGAGTGGGGTTTGGTTGGAAGTTGGGCAAATGGGTGCGGGTGGGATGGCGTGGCCCCCGGGGGAGAGACGTGTGGTCAGGTCAGGTCAGGGGGATTGGATGAGCGGTTGGGTTGGACACGTCAGCGAGCAGTACAACCCTCTTTGGCAGTTGTGGGTAGGTCTAGGATGCTGCGATGGGGTTAGCACGCCTTTTGTCCACAAGGCATTTTTTCCTGATAGCGGCCCATGGTGCAAGAGCCTAAGAGTCCTGCATCTTTCTGCGTCACCATGTCAACCCAGGACCCTGGCAGGTTATCATTGAAGCGGCGGTTTTCGTCAGTGTTCACCCTCGGGGTCCGCAATGTGGCCCGCCTCTTGCTTGGCATCCAAAGATCCAAACAAAGAAAAAGACAAACAAGCAAGGGTCCCAGCTTCAAAGGGACCAACAAAGCACGTGGCCCTCCGGGCGACTGGCGCCGGGTGCTGGGCCCGCAACCTTGTCGCTGAATCGGCAGGACGTCTCCCTCGCCGGACCTGGCGGACTGCAGCTTCTGCCCGCTGGCCTGCGTGCAGGCGGACGGCGGGTTGTGGGTTTGTCTGCGCGTGTGTGTGTGTGTGGAGTGGAGTGGAGCGGAGTGGAGGGGTTGGGAAAAAGACTTGATCATAGCCCCAATTTTGAAATCAGGCAATCTCAGTATATCACTTTGAAACAATTGGACCATGGACGCGGCACGAGCACAACCAGATGTAGTTGACAATGGCATTTTGTGTCCAGTCGCAGTGCGAGGATGGCAATGCAAAATGTAAGGCTTGAATTTTGCTTGGTTGGTGGCGCGGGGCAGGCCCTTTCGAGAGAAAATTGCCAGTGTTAGGTGGTTTTCATGCTGGAGCAGCTGATCCTCCTGGCGCAGGAGCCGGGGTGGGGGTGGGGGGTGGGGGTGGGGTGGGCGGAATTTGCATGGGACGCCAAACCAGGGCGCGCAAAGTGTTGTGAATTTCCAGGACTTCGGAATGGTGGGTTTGAATCTCCTGAAGCATCTAGCCAAAAGGGTATGTTTTTTGGAAGCGCTCGCTTTGGTTGGGCTGGGCGCCCCGCAAGTGCTATGGACTTCTAACTGTGTGGGCTGCCCCCCCCGAATCCCAGCCGGTGCAAGGAGCCAGTGCACGTGCAGCTGCCGCCGGCAGAGTTTGCCACACCCAGCGCCAACCAATTCTTCGACGCCAACCGCAAGGCCGAGACCGAGGGATCGAGGGATCGAGGGATCGAGGGATCGAGGGATCGAGGGATCGAGGGATCGAGGGATCGAGGGATCGAGGGATCCACCTCACGGGAAGCGAGGCAACGGGCGAGGTATGGGGGATTTTTCTGGCGCAACCTATCAGACCTCGGCCGGCCAGGCGGCAGAAAAAACTTGCTTCCTAAACAGTCCACACCTGTAGGCAGCACGGGGGTGGAAATTGGAACCCCAACTCCCGCCGAGGCAAGCAGGCAGTTGGAATCCACAAGCTGATTTGGCTGCGACCCCCTGATCCACCACTACTGGCAAAACTCGCCTGACACATTTCAAGTAAATCCCGGTCCTGGGCACCTTTTTTTGCCCAACCGTGAGCACCCCTCACACCAACAAAAAAAAGAAGAAAAAAAAGAAAAAAAAAGGACCCGACCGCACCGGCCGGGAGAAGCTTGGAGGTGTGCTTCGAGTGGTTCCAGCGCATGCGTGGGCCGCTGCAGCAGACCTTGAGCCGCTTCGGTTCCCCGGGGGCCTTCTTCGCCAACGGCGCGCGCCTGGCGGCGGCGAAGCTGGTCGAGGAGCTGCCGGCGCTGGGGGAGCAGCCGCTGTCGGAGTATGTGCTGCTGGCAGCCCACGGCCGCAAGGAGGGGGGACGGGCCGGGACGGGGGCGGAGCCTCAAACGTGGAGCCTCAAAGGGGGGTTGCTCTCACCAGCAAGACTTCTTCCAGTTCGCTGCGAATTGCTCCTGAGAATGCAAAGGGCGGATTTCCTCATAAAACCATGGTTTTTGGCTCCATGTTATGCAGGAGCATAAGGCTGGTCAAGGTGGGTCAAGGTGGGTGGGATGTGGGGTGGGCTATTGGTCGGTAGGTTGGCCGTTTGGCTGGATGGTTGGCTTGCCTGCTCGGATCATTCATTGGTTGGATTGTTTGTTGCTTGGACTTGGCGACATGCATTGGCTCAATTCGATTGCATAGCTGGGCAGCTCATTGAAGCTGCATGTTCAAGCCTGGCCCTTCATTGGATTGCATGTTTGGGATTGCTGGAAAACCAAGCCGCCGAAACAGGCGATCGGACTGGTGACCACTGCATACTGCATGGCTGCAGTGTCCGTTTGACACGAGTGCCGAATCTTGCCGGGAATTTTTATATTCGGACGTGTTCTTGTTTCAAGTACTGTATCGCATAGCTCGTCACGACGCTTCTCTTGATAGCGCCTCGCAATAACGGGCCCATCTGGGGGAACAACAAGCTCACCATGATGAAGGGGGATTCCACATTTCAGGTTTTGGAGGTGTAGAATTTGCAGATTCATGTTCTGTGTGTGCCTGTGCATGCTGTGAAGGCAAGCCCAGCCGCACTTTGCCGAAGCCTCTTGTTTATACTTGGATGAAAGCAGATGCTGTAGCACCATCTCCCCATTTTGGTTTCCCCACATAAACAGCACATAAAGGCTTATGAAGGGGGACGACTCCACAATGGCGAGACCATCCATGAGGATTGAGACATCGCAGGGCGCTTGCCAGGAGGAGGTTCGTGGGCCGGTGCTCTCCATGCGCGACAGGGCGCCGTGGTTGCCGGCGCTGGAGGCGCTGGAGCCGCCGGGGCGGACTGCGGGGCCTGTGCAGATCTTGACGGACAAGTCAGCAGTCCCCCACAAGGCGCGGGGCTTGCGGGACCCGTGGGGTGGTTGCGGAGGGTTTGGTTTAGGACAGGCTTTGGCATTCGAGAGGAAACTGGAATTGTGCTTGTTTTTCGGTTGCGGGGGGTAGCCTACGCAATGTATTTGAGCTGGTTGAGGTGAAGGGGTCTGGCCCCCACCAATGCCCAAACATGCTGAACAAAACAAAACATAGTCGCAACAAGCGGCAAACTCTCAGACCTTCTGGCCCGTTCTGGGCCGTTCTTTCAATGAGTCATGGGGCCTGAGAAGATGTACCTTTCTTTTAACCATCCTTGGGGCATGTGCACAAACAGTTGCAACTTTGCAGCACGTTCATTCGGCATTCGGATGAGGCGAAATAATTACAACCACACACACCCAAGACCCTGGCTGAGATTTATCTTTTGGGCGATCCTATTTAGTGTAGTCTTTCAGAAAACCAAGAAAAAGGTTTGGAGGCCGGGCAGCTGGTTTCGCATGTTTCGAGGCCATGGAGGTCTTGGAGCAGACCTTGGCGTCGCTGCTGTCCAGCGCGCTGCAAATGAAGGACGTGGGCCGCTGTCGAGGTGCCTGGAGAACGACGGCCGCTGGAGGGGTGGAGGGGGCCATGTGTGGCGCCTGTAAGTAGGACGAAGCAAGCAATAGAACACACAAGCACACATCGGAAGGCGCAGACCCATTTTAGTATGTGGATACTCATGTATACAGTCATGTGACTCGTGTTGGGCTTTGGGGTTTTGATTGCGCACCTTAGGTCCGCGCGAGAAGATTAGCCATCAAACCTCAGAGCCACCGCCAGTTTGATGAGGTTTGTACGTTTCCCGTCTTGGAATTCACACTTGAGCACGGGAATTGCGTCTTTTTCAACTTTTTCTGAACAAGGGGAACGTGTAGATCCCGCGTCTTCCACGCGCAGCGTCTAGAGCAGTCTCTGCATCCCTTCCGCAGGCTTGCTCCTTGGCTGGAGGCAACATCGTGTGGAACAAGTGCCTCAAACCTCGTCCCAGAATCAAAGCTTTATCCAATCGAGTTTAGAAGTCTATGGTCCTGCGAGTGAGGGAGCCAGATAATTGCTACTATTTTGCACCCTATGTTTGCGAATCCACCTGGTTTTACGGCGCCCCATGCCCCCATTCTACTTGTCCCTCGAGCCACCGCACTCGTCCGGTCGCCCTCTCAAGGCATCCTGGCGCTGCTGTGCCAGCTGGCCTGGGCGGCGTCGCTCTCCGTCGGCTTCGTGGTGTCCTTCCAGGCGGTTGGAGGGAGGGGCGCGGGGGGAGGGCGGGGGAGGTTGAAGCAGAGTGAGGGAGCTGTCCCTCTTGGGCCTTTTCTTCCCCTTCCCCTCGCCTTGGCTAAGGAGCCCTTGATCCTGGCCGCAGAGCGCCGCCACGAAGAGGCGAACCTCCTCTTTGCCAGCCGCCACGAGGCACCCCGTCATGCCATGTTTGTCTTCCAAAAGGACAAGCAAAGGGCGTTGAAACATGCTCAAGAAAGTGGCTTGCTCAGGCGGCTGAGCGAGCCTTCAGTGTTGGGGTTCCAGACTTCTCCATCGCAAGCCCCGCTTCCACCACGAACATCTCAAGCCTTCCTCATCCTTGCCTCAAACCCGCAAACCCACGCAGTATCTCATCCACCTGAAGGGCTCCTAAGCGCAAAACCCAATCATTCCCTCGCAAGAAACAAGCAAATTGTTGTACTGCCGCCTCTGCCGGGACTCCGCCGCACGACGTGACGCGCAGGACTCCAGACAGGACTCGAAGACGGCACCTCTCGGCTCCAGCAGGCAGGGATTGTGCGTTTATAATTTATATCTTCAGCAATGCTGCTTTTGGGCATTTTTGTGGCGTGTGCAGGTGACTTGCGCCTTTCTTCTCTTTTTTTTTTGGGGGGGGGTTGGGGGGGGGTTGGGGGGTTGAAGTTTCAGTGGGAACGGAGCGGAACCCCGGCAGGGCCATGCGCGCGCTGGTGGCCCGCGCGTGGCTGGACTCCGCCGTGGCGGCGCGGGACGCCGCGCGGGCGCAGGGCGGCGGGAGGTTCGACGCGGGGGGGGGGAGGGGAGGGTGGGGTGCGTCGTGGCTGGTAGGGTCCATAGGGTCACCTTTCATGTAGCCAGGTGTAGATCAATGTAGTTTGAGGTGGTTGCAGGCTTCAATTCACAAATGAAGGACTCAGCAGCACTGGAAGTGAGTGAAAGCACTCATGAGTCATGGACTCATGACTGAGTGAGATGAACAATGTGAATGACATGACTGGCTTGAATTCTATGAGTTTCATGAGGTTGTTGAATTTACCGAAATGCATCACGCGAATGACTTGAGTTACGCTAGTTCAAACAGTGACACAATCAAAACGAAATGGCAGGGCATGAGTCGCGAGCTGAACTGAACGAAACAATGAGACATGACACAATCTGAAACTAACATACATGAACATGACATGAACATGACATGAACATGACATGAACATGACATGAACTTGGCATGAACACGGCAAGAAATGAACCAACACACATAAGCTTACATTGAACAACTCAATTAAATTGTAATGACACGACATGACATACGTTGCATGAATAGAACGCCGCGGAATTCAATCGATGGAGTTGAGTTTGTTCAGTCATGAACAGCTATTTTGGGGCTGTTGCTGAAAAGCTTTTAATTGGATTTCCGGACCCGGGAATGGGGGCAAATGGCTGATTGTTGCCAGCTTTGACATCATGCTCTCTGCCAACAGCACTCGCAAGAAACCAAGTGGGGTCGCTTCACACCAGGCCCGTCTCGGCCAGCCTACCTTTCTTGCCCACTGCACAGCCAGTGCAGGAAACAAAGAGAGCGGCAGCAAGCTTCATGGTTCACCCGCTTTCATTTGTCAAGCAACGGCTAACCAGAAATTGGCAACCAGTAGCGAACACCACCAGCCACCAAGTTAAACAGCAACCTTCAAGCAGCAAGTATCAACAGCATGTCGCTGGGGGCGACAGGGCCAGCCACCGCAAGATTTGGTCTCAGGAAGGTGCTGTGGAGCAGTGGCTGGAGCAGCATGCTGAAGGCGGCGTTGTGTCCAAGGCTGTGGTTGCCTTTGCCCGGGCCTACGATGCTTGGCAGTGGCCATGCTGGCAGAGCTGGCAGCGCGGGGTGACTATGTGTATGTTGCATTTGCTTGCTTTCTATGACTGGGATTTATGCTCAACCTGGCGCTTGAACAAAATGCATGGGATCTGCAGCGGGTCCAAACGCTGGCATGCAGGCTTGTTTGATTTGTATTGCTTGGGTTGGGCTATCAGGACTTCAGGCCTTTAGGCCTTCTTGTTGCGCGCGCCGAGGACCATCTCCTGAAGCAGGAGCTTCTGGCGTGCCAGCAGGCGGTGCAAGAGGCCAAGTCCGCCAGCTCCAGCGAGTGGGCCGCCGCGTCGGAGCGAACGGAGCGGGCCACGCCAGCCACGGCCGGGGTCTCAACGGGCCGTTCTTGGGGCGCTTTTACTATAGGTGGTGAGGGTGCGCTTTGGCGGAAACAAGGTGCCTATGTACGTTTGATAGGTCAAATAATTGATGGCCAAACAGGGCCTCCCTGATAGCGTGTCCCCCCAAAAAAACAACCAACAAAAAAAGCACCAAAACAAACAGGGCATTCTGGCTTAGTGGTTGAGATACTGTTGCAGGATCATGATCCTGCTGGGTTTGAAGCCTTTCGCGCAAGAAGTGTTTGGTAAGGTTTGAACGCTCCATCAGAGAGCGAATGGGCAGGAAGAGTTTTTGGCCGGTCGATTTGCGATGGTGTGGTCAATTCAATTCGGCAGGGGCCTCTTCCACGTTTCCTTCCACGCCACAAGCTCTTGAATCTTAGGATCCTTACAAAAAGGGCTGTGGGGGGTGGCGTCACCCTTCCCCATGGCTTCCAGTACCCTCGTGGGCTTGAGCCAAGGCCAGCGACCGCATTGGCTCCCTGTCGCGGTGGGGCGATATGCATTCTTTGCTGCTGGTGGAGACCGCTGCTTTGTCTGCAAGGGAGCCAACCATGTAGCATCTTCTTCTTGGCAGAAGGCAGACTGGCTCCACCACAATGACCAGGGGACCCAATTGCTTGTGAGATGCAACCCCGCTCGACTGGTCGAGCAAGTGGATTTGTGTGTTTGTGTTTGTGTTTTTTGCGTTTGTGCTGTTGAGGGTTCCCTTTTTTCCTTGGTTTCAAGGGACTCCAATAGGAAAACCATTTTGGAGGTCCCTCGTTTTTGACACAAGCCCACGCCGAACGGATGGCGGGTTTGGTAACCCGGTTCCGCAGGCCGTGGACCACAAGCTGGGCTCCCCATCGCCAGGAGCACAGGCGCGGACTTGCGTCGATTGGACGGGCCTCGGTTGGGGTGCGGGTAGGTGGGGGGCACGCTGCCTTTGCATCTATATATTATATATTCATGTTGTCTTGCTTTACCGCAACATCAGCTTTCCCAGTATTCAGTCCCCACTCAACTCTATCTCGTGCCTGTGCGCGCTTCGCTATAGCTGGATATGGCTGGCAGCTAGTGCCTTCTTTGTTGCCGCTTCCCGCGTAGGTGTTCCACGCGGGTCTGGGAAATATGTGGCCGATGTTGATCACGCCGTCCGCTTCCGAAGGACCAGGTGTGAGCCTCGCAGGCGGATGATCAGATGCAGGCCTTGTCAAGTTCTAGCTGCCCGCACGCACACCACAAACCAAACAAGCCAGAAACAGCACACAAAAGCAAACACATCGGCACAGCTTGCCGAGCATCCTGCTTTTACCACTGTTCCTCCCCGCCCTTGCCAAGTCGTGCCAATTCCACTCCCCTACCAACGCCCGCCAACGCTGTTATGCCCACCAGCGTTGGTGTGTTCCAGCCATTTTGGACTCCTGCAAAGGTTTAGTTCATTTTGGACGAAAATCATGCCCAAGAAACCCAAGCAGTTTCCCTTTTTCCTTCGGATTGAAAGAGAGGCCAAAAGCACCCGGGGGCGGCTTGAAAGGGAATACATGGGGCCTGCCTTCTTGGTCAGAACAAGAGGGCAAGGCAGCAGTTTCTTCCTTCCCAGCTTCCCAAATAAAGGCATTGTTTTCGATTCGCAACCCGTCCAAAGCTGGAGTCAGGGTCAAGGAACAGATTGGTTGGGAAAATGCGTTTGAGCCCAACTCGCTTTAGTCCTTCGACTTTCCTGCGGCAACGGCTGGAACGGCTCACAAGGCCCGGAACTTCATCCAGGCGGAGCTGGCGGCGAGGTGCCAAGTGGAACCCTTTCTCACCGCCCAGGTGGGGGCGGCGGGGGGGTGGCCATTTTGTAATCTGTTTGATGTGGTCCGCCATTTTTTTGTTGTGTGTTTAGACTTATTGGGGAGCTGTTTGGGGTTGTTTGCTTGGTTGTGTGGCGCTATGCTGGTGTCACTGCCCGGCAGCGAAAGTGGGCAACTCTCAGCGCTTTGATGTTTTTGTTGCCCATCCCGGGTTTAACTACGATAGCACGATTTGATACGGAAGCCTGGCATTGGGCATGGCCAACTAGCCGTGGTCGTTGGGCCACATACGGTTGGCTGGTTCGACTCCCTGACCACCCCACACATACTTGATATGCACATGGCCAAGATGTCCATTATGAATGAACTTCACCGCATCACCGAGTCGCCACCTTGCTGGCAGGTTTTTCAAGGCCCCCACTGGGCCTTTGTGCCTCCGGGCGTCAGGTGTACCAGCCCTGCGAACTTCACCTGGAGCTGTTGGAAGCGCTGGACAGCAGTGCTAACGGGGTGGGTGGGTGGGTGCGAGCTGGTTCCCAGGCGGGCGGGAAGACATTTGGAAGAGAAGCGTTGTCTTGAAGACACGGTTCCGAGAAAACCACGTTTTGTGCCGGGATGTTTGAAGAGTTTGCGTGGCCGTATTTTGTATTATTTTCGCATTTGCGCTTTGTTTCTCGCTTTTCCTGCTTCACTTCGTTGTGGCTGGCCAATCGACTACAGTCCACATTGGGGACCCCTTTGGCTGGTTCCGAAAAGGGCAGACCAGGAACCACTTGGAAGACGTCTGGCCAGTTTCCTGAGGCTGCTATGCATGGGTATCCAAACAACACGCAGAAAGCAACATGTGATGAGTCTAGCCAACGAGTAGTGCAAGGAGTTCGTCCATGCTGTTTCAGGGGGGCTTGGTATTCCTCCAAAGCATTTGCCAGGGCTCAGGGCTCATCACCGTCCGAGCCTCCTAGCTAGTATTTCTGCGAGTTTATCTTGGGGAAGTTTTGCCAACGTCTGCCGTCGCAACATCCAATATGTGTCAGTTGTCCCCCTGGACTTTGATTCGATGTCCTCAGGTCATCCTACATAGCCATGCTTCCCGTGTTTCGGTTATTATTTTTTATTTACATTTTTTCTTTATCTCTCTCTCTCTCTCTCTCTCTCTCTCTCCGGTGGTCCCGGCCTTGTGGCTAGGAGGGCCGGCTGGCGCCCTCCCGCGGGGTGTTGCGGACGGCGGCGTCCTTCGAGTTGCTGGAGGCCTGCGGGGCCGCGTATCCCATGGACGAGCTGCTGGAGGGCTGCCTGCAGGCGGTTTGGGGGCGGGCGGTTGGAGGATATTTTGTTCGGGCCGGGGTGGGGGAGGGTCAAACACCCTACGCCCGAGATATTTCCTGTTAAACTTGTCAGCTAACAAGGGGCGCTAGCCAAATTCTGTGAAATCATCCGAAAGCAGCAGCTTCCTTCCCAAGAACACTGTGGCTTTGAAACAAGGTCCTGGGCATTGTTTATTCGTGGTGGGGTGATCTTGACACGAAACCCTGCCGTGGCAGTGTCCCAGTCAAACCAGGGGAGCACATGCTCAAACTTCTAAGATTCCGGAGCTACCGGCAGATGCCGGCTCATTACCAGCAATTTGCAAAGCAGGCCTGTGCTGGTCATCCTCTTGAGTTTTTGGTTGGTGGCAGATCCCTTCCATGCCTCAACCATGACGACAACAACATGTATTTTGGATTTGCGAAGGTGCTAGCTGGTCCGCGTGCACGTGCTGCAGGGATGCTTTTGCCTCATGTGTCCAAGCACTTTCTTGGCTTGAACTGCGGACATCCTGTCCCATCATCTTGATCCACCGAATAGAAGCCAGCTGTCCAAGCCCCCAGTTGGCCCCAGATTGTGGGCAACATGGCCCGTTGGTTTCTCTAACTCCTTCGATGACTCTTTGACGACCCTTTGACAAACCCTGTGGTGGTTTCAAATGAGAAGGTCTCTCCCTCCCACTAACGTGGCGCCTGAAAAGACCCTCACACAGGTGCTATGTTGCATAAATGCCATGGCTTCGTGGTACATTCGGCTCCCCGAAACATCTGGGGCAAGCAACGTGATGGCTACCCAGCCTTTCTTCCTGGTGGGTCCATCAATTGAAGGACCCTCACTAATGTCGCCCTCCGTTTGAAGGAAAACACCTGGTTGATCGACGCGGGTTGATTCATTTCGTTGCTTAAGCCTGCTGGTTCACTTGAGTTTTTCTTGTTTTCCTTCTGGGTGCCTCTTGGCGCGGCTGCGTCTCCCTTCCGCTTGACAGGAGCGGAGCTTCAACCTGGCGGAGCGGGTGCTGGACACGCAGCCGGCGGCCTGCAGCGCCCTGTTCCGTGCCCGGGTGCTGCTGGGCCGGGGCCGCCACGCCGAGGGCTTGCAGGCGGTTGTGGCTGGGGTTGGGTGCGGTGGCGGAGGGGAGGGGGGGGGGGCCGGGGTGGGGGGTGGGTGGGTGGTGGGTGAATGTGGGCTAGGGTTTGGGTTTGGGATAGTTTGAGGATGTGTGTGCCAAACGTTCCAATTCAATCGACAGTGTGCTTTTGGTTTTCCGACGACCGAGAAGTCTTCATGTGTGCACAGATTCCTCCGACGGCCAAGTGCCGACCTGGAGAGGAACTACTGTACAGTATTGTCTCTGTGCAAGTCCTGGCTGAGATGCAGCGGTCCATCTTGTGCTCAGCAAAGACTCATGCGCAAGGTGCACATGCCTTTTCTGGTTGATTTGCTATCGGCGCCAGCCTATGATCATTCGTGCACAACTTCAAGAAACTTCATTGGGGCTGTTGTCTTGCAAATCCCTTGGTCTCTTGCATATGGTTGATCTATGGATCCACGCCCAGTTGTGCACAGGGCCATCTGTGGCCAGGTGCTGGATACGGCTCTGTCCACCTCCTTTGATCTGCTGCTGACGAGCCCGGCGGCCACAACAGACATTGCGCGGCACCTTGTGCAAAGGGCTTCTTTTAAAGTTGGGCGTGTCTCCAAAAAGGGACTCCTCAAAATGGGTAGTCTCCGTTTTGTTTTTTCAGGCCGCCCCAGACATTTGCCACATTGTTTCCGAATTGTTGGCCCGAATTCCGAACCAGTTGCCTCGGACTCGTGTCTGCTGCATGCCACCCCGATTTTTTACGGACAATTGAGGGTGAACCCCCCCTCTCACTTCTCTTCCAACAAATAAGAGGCTGCAACTAATTTTGCCAGTTGGAACCGGTGACTCGCCCTTGGCACATCCGAGGCTCAGCTCGCAGCTTTTGGACGCTCCGGCGCTCGCCGCCGCTGGGCCCCTGCAGCGGCTCGGGGCACAGCTGGCCGAGCACACCGGCGCAGGCAGGGAGCAGTGGGGGCTGGGACCCCAATCTGGGCCCAAGGCCTGACTTGTTGGAAGGAGATCGGCATTTGTGATGCTCTTTTTTCTTTTGGGGGGGGGGGCTCTTACTTTGTGTTGTTTGCAGGCCGCACGTACAGATCCGCCAGGCACGGGCCTCTTCAGCGCAGAGGTCGTGGAGAAGTGGAAGGCCGGCCTGCAGCTGAACACGGTGCCGGTGATGTTGGAGCAGCGGCTCAACCCCTACTTCTTGGGCCAGCGCCTGGGCTGAAAAAACGGCATCCACCCTTCGAACACTGCAAGGATGGGAGGTGGTCTTGTACCAGAACCCCCATCCCGGAAGGGGGGATAGGGGATACAACAGCCACCCCTTCGGCTGGTTGGAGGCCCCTTACTTGCACCGAGGTTGCACAGCATGACCTGCCAGCTCTGCCCGGAGGATGCCCAGCTCTGGGGCCAGTGCCCTCACTTATGGGAAGGGAGAGGGGCTTTGGCATGTTTTTTTTGCGGCCCCGGACGGGGGAACCACAAGCCCATGAGATTGACTGGCCTCTGCTTCCAGCAAGGCATTGTTGTTCGTCGGCGAAGCCGTCTTTTTTTCCCCGGCCAACCCGGCCGATGTGGCTGAAGTTATCCCGTGGCAGCGATGTTCTCAGCCAGAACCTGAATCGAGCGCTCAGTCCCTGATCGTAAGAAGTGGGGCGTTCTTTTTTCGCAGAGGGTCTGTTCAGCCAGGTGTTTCACATCCATGGACGGCATTTCAATGGAACCTAGGATTCTGGTGTCCATGATGGCTAAACAACCCCCAATAGTCCAGGTCGATGTACATCCCCAGGTACGGCGACTGGCTCTTCGCCCAGAGCCACCCGGACAGCTACGTGGACCTCGCGCTGCAGCGGGCGCTGCCAGAGTTCGGGAATGCGTCCCCGGCGGAGCTGCAGCTGAAGCGCCGCTGTGTGCAGGCGCTGCGCCGGAAGCGCCAGGCGGGTCTGGGGTCCCATGTCTGCGGGAGAGGCAGAGGGGCTGAAATGGGGGGGGGGCTGGTGATGTGGGGTGATGCGGGGTGATGCGGGGTGATGGGTGATGCGGGGTGATGGGTGATGCGGGGTGATGGGTGATGCGGGGTGATGGGTGATGCGGGGTGATGGGTGATGCGGGGTGATGGGTGATGTGGGGTGATGTGGGGTGATGTGGGGTGATGTGGAGTGATGTGGGGTGGCGTGGGGTGAGGTCGTAGGGCTCAGTTTGGAACTGTTTGAGGTATTTTCTCTCTTTTGATTCAGGTTCTGCCTTGTGATGTTGCGCTTGGTCGAGCGGTTTTGAAGCAATGGGCAACATGGCCACAATTTTATCTTGACCTCCAAGGGTCCTCTTGAGGCCCGCCATTTGCGGCTGGTAGAGCCCAGAGAGGATAAAGTTGTGAAATGACAGGATTCCTTCAACTTGTTGCTTCAAGAGGACTCTCATCGAGCAAATCCAGACTTCACACCACCAGCAATTGCTCAATGCTTGTTGCTGGGTTGGGTGTCGCAGGAGCCAATGTCGCTACAGTGGCTGCAGAAGCGCTCCAAGGCGCCGGCGCGGGTTTTGCCCGGGCTTCCCCCTTTTGACTCGGCCAGCTGAAGGGTTGCGTTGTTGCTTTTGTTGGACTTGCAGGGCCTCTGAGTCATGTAGACTTGTCTTGGCCACATTCCCCATTCAAGTGAACCTTGAACATTGCCAGTTGGGTTCTTTAAGGCACGCGTGGCCGTTGACCATGATGCTTGGACACGACACTCCCGCGAGAAACAGAGGTCTATTCTTGCAAGGCTCTTGCAGAAGGGGCCCAGCGTCTGCCTCGGGCAAAGCGCCTCAGCCAAGAGAAGCCGCGCTTTCCCGGCGCTCACGTGCCCGGCGCTCACGGGTCGGATCGGTCGCGAGGTGGCGCAGTGCAAGCTGTGGCAGGACCTGGGCGTGGAGGCCCAGGAGCGAATCGCCCAGCAGCTGGGGCTCCTGGAGGCCTGGTTCGCCTCTCTGCGGCCGGCGGCCCAGCAGGAGATGCAAGAGGCGGATGGGATCGAGGGGCTATGACGGCTATGAGCCTGTTAAGGGTCTGAAATCAGCATGGGGTCGTGGGATACCTTACGGCCAAAGAGATTAGAGAGAGAGAGAGAGGAATGATATATGTTTGCTCCGTATGTCATGTCGGGGCAGGCCAGAGGGAAACGAGCAAAGCAGATGATGGCGGGAAGGAATGGGCTGCCTTCAGGGTTCCCACCTTTGCGGCCAAGTCGTGTGTCCTGTTTTTGATTGGCCGGGTTTGCCTTTGGACACCTGGTTTTGGGTGCGCAAACGCTTTGAGGGATGTGTGTTTTTGCTGCAGCGCACAGGGCTGGGACACGCCTTTTGACCAATTGATTGGCTGTTGAACGTTCAGAGCAAATCGGGAAGCTTGGGCCATGTCCAAACCATTGTTTCTTGCAAGTGCCTGGGTAGTGGTCTGGAAATGCCCTTGGCTTGGTCTGACGGGGGCAGATAGTTGATCAAGGGAAAAGGGAAGGTTGAAGGTGACCTTGCCTACTTCCAGAAAAAATGGGGTGGCACTTCATGGGTTTGAGTTGTGGGGCTGGAGATGGGGTTTGGTTCTCGAGTCCGGGCTCGATTCTTGCCCTTGTGCAATGAGCTTTTGGTTTTCCCTTTCTTGGAGAGGGTGGGTACTTGATTCAGCGTTTCAGGGCTTTCATTTTGCCCGGCTCCGGTCCCCGGTGGCTTTCCACTGCCCATTTCCCTAAAAGCAACGCCATAAAAGGGGGGACCCTCATGTCATGCTGCCCTCTCACATGCCGCAGGCCTACGAGCGCCACCTGGCGCTCTCCGCGGCGCCGGCCTCGCCGCTGGCCATGAAGCGCGTGCTGCGGCTGCTGCGCGTGGGCGGCGGCGAGGGCCTGGAGCTGCGGATGCTGGGCCCCGTGCTGCCGCAGATCCTGGCGTACATGAAGAGCCCCAGCCCCAGCCAGTCAGTCGCCAGGGCAGGGGAAAAGCGGGCTCGGACATTTCACGTGGCGGTTTCTCAAGATGGTGGAATTTCTTTTGGAAGGCATTCCAAAACAATACCAACACTCTTAGGGCCGCACTTTTTGACAGTGAGGTCCGGACAGCAACCTCGCCGAAGTCGCCGCAGGTGCGGCCGAGCTGGGAGGGGCGTGGAGAGGAACGCCCGATGATTTGACAAGATTTCAGCTTGGTGAATGTTGCAAGTAGAAATAGGAGTAGAAGTAGGGGCAGCAGAAGAAGCAGTAGCAGCAGCAATAGCAGAAGCAGGCAGTAGCAGCAGCAGGAGGTGGTAGTACATCAAGTGGTAGTAGTAGTAGTAGTAGTAGTAGTAGTAGTAGTAGTAGTAGTAGTAGTAGTAATAGTAGTAGTAGTAGTAGTAGTAGTAGTAGTAGTAGTAGTAGTAGTAGTAGTAGTAGTAGTAGTAGTAGTAGTAGTAGCAGTAGTAGCAGCAAGCAGCAGCAGTAGTAGCAGTTCACCGGCTACCTGCGCACTAGCCGGTTCAGAGAGAAAGGGAGGGGAAGCTCTTGCAACTCTTGGGACGAGCGTTCTCAGCTGTAAAGATCTTCAACGGCGATGGCCGCCCCAATGCTTTGGGCACCGGTGTTTGTTTCCGTGGGCTTCGGCTAGGGGGGCTTGTTGGGTCCTTATCACTCGATCCCAGGAAGGTTCCACCCCCACCAAAAGGAGCTCTGTCTGGCATGTCTTGTCGGAGGGTACCCTTTTTGAGCGAAGAGAAATCCAAAGGCAGCCGGGCCCATTTCAGGTTTCATATTTCGAGGCCAACCCTCTGTGTTCCTGACAGGCCTCTTCTCCCGCCTGGCTGCCAATGCCCACCTCGTGCTGCTCCCCGCCCTGGCGGGCGAAGACCCCAATCCTCAGCCCAGCGGCACACACGGTGCCGTGCGGCCCAGCGCAGCTTGGGTTAGAGCCGGGCGGGTGGGTGGACCAGCGGGCCGGCGGGTGGAGCATTAGGTAACACTTTGCTTGTTTCTGTTCTGCTTGATGTTCTCCAGAAGAGCACTGATGACTCGCTCTCTCCCCCGCTCTCTTCTCTCTATGTTTATATGTTGTATTTCTATTTAGACTTCCTAGTTTCTTGTCTGGCGCTAGAATCTCCGGATCTTTACGTGGAATAGCGGATTAACCATAAGAAAGCGAGGAGGGAGTGTAAGCTCCAGGAGTATGTCGCCACACAAGCATTTCTCTGAGTCACTTTCTTCTAACTTATGGCCAAGTAACTTCTGGCCGTTGGGTGACAACGCGCCCCGGTGGCTCCGGCCCGGCGCCTGACAACTCGCAGCCTCGAGGCCAGGGACTTGGTGCGGCAGCAGCACCCGGAGAAGCTGCGGCGCGCGGAGCGCTTCGCGCGGGCGCTGAACGCCATGGCCATCCCCGTGGATGAGGCGGAGCGGTTTCAGAACCACGCGGCGCACAGGTCCACCCCCTCAACCTGTGCCCCTGGTAGCCCTTCACCCCATTCAACCCTTTTAACCGGTAGCCCGTCGTGGCATCATGTCTGCACGCAGAAACCATAGGTGGTACGGTGCGGCCTGGCCTCAGTGTTTGGGCAGCGCCCGTCGGTCATTCCAAGCTCTGTTTGCAGATGGAGTTTGGGTTTCGGGCTTGGTTTGTTTGCAAACTTGCGTGCTTGCTTGCTTCTTTGCATCTTTGCTTTTTCCTGGTTCGCTCGCATTCCGCGGGCTGCTGCAGTAGTTTGTGTTATGAAATGGCCCTCCTGGGGTGTCAGGCTTGCTTCCACCCTCCGGGGCATGGAGAGATCAGAAGAGCTTGCTTGGTTCAAGGAGCATGGGCCACCTGTCCGCTTTGCGGGACGGGGGCGGAGAAAAAAACCATTTTGTTTAGAGCGAATCCTTCACGCTTTGGGGGAACATTTCTCATTGAACTGAGGGTATTGAACATAAACCTTGCTACAGAAGTGCCAAAGGCTGTCCCGCGCTCTGGATACACCTAAGTTGGACGGAGAACCCGCGATCGGTGCTTGTGCTGAAGGGTTTGGGCCGGATGTCGGCAGGTTTGCGCCAAGATCTTGCAATTTGCGGAGACCTTTCTGGTGACAAAGGCGCTCGACGAGGTGCCTTGGCATGAGCGGAAGCGGGCCAGCCATTTGTCCGTCCGTCTGTCCATCCGTCCATTGTCCGTCCATCTCGTGCCTATGTTCTGGAGTCCAGGGCTAGCATCAGGGTTTACAAAGTGAGACAGTGGGTTGTTTACCTTTAGTTTGCCACTTGAGGGATGACTTTTCGGAGCCATCCCCATCACTTCCCCACATGGCGGGACTTGTGCGATGTACATTGACCCCAGTGGATTACACCTACCGCTTTTGTGAATGGACAGGTGCTAAGCGCCCATTTTCCCTGGGACACGTCCCACCCAACCGCAATTCATCGTGGGGTGCGAACTATTGATCAACCATGGGACCCATCCTGCCAGGATGGGACCGCCGGACCTATTGATCAACCATGGAAACGCCCCAAATAAGAAGTCAGCCTGAGGTGCCGGACTGCGGGCAGCTGCTGCTGGGGCACTTCTCGGCGCTGCTGAGCGCACTGGACGCCGCCGCAGGGGAGGATCGCCACGGTCGGGGTGCGGTGGAGGCGGAGGCGACGGCGGGGGTTTGGGCGGGTGGGGTCGGGGTGGGGTGGGGTGGGTGGGGAAGAACTTGTTTTGCTTTTCGGAGGGAGGGGAAAGGCTTCCAGATACGTCTTACAGGTGGCTCCAAGTGAAGCAAAGGCTGGAACATATGTTTTTTCCCAAATGTATTTTTTTGCTCATGCCTAGCTTGGACACTTGCTTGTGGCATTTGCGCGGCCGTGCGCAAGATATTGATATTTCGATGCTCGCCATGAAACGGGGTGGCTGCTGATAAACACGAGCTTTGTTTGCTCTGATTTGGAACATCCGCCTACTACCACCATGGCTTGTTGCTTCTTTCGTGGTCGAAGTGGCTTCGACTCGTGTAATTTGTTGTGACCTGGGCATGCGTCGCTTTCACAATCTGCTCCTAAAATGGGATGTCTGCGGTTGCAACCATGTTTCCATTTATTTGCCCAGCTATTAGAGCACATCCCTGTGGTGCGCGCAATTGACCCCCTGTGACGCCGGTGGCGACCAGGTCCTGGGCATCATGGGCTGCGTGCCTGACCTGAAGACGTCCTTTGCCCGGAAGTTCCTCGCAGCCTTCCTGCCTCAACTGCGAAGGCTGGGCGCAATGGGGACGGGTCAAGGCCAAAGCAGTTGGGGCAAGCTGAGAAGAGTCCCTGGCAAGCACACTGAAACCAGACCTCTACAGGGGTGCGTGAAAGAATTGGTGACGAACCATTCCAGTCTAGCGAGTTCGTCTCCTAGATTCGCCAAACGTCCTCTGAGAGGGGTCTGTTTTGAGGATGGTTTTCGTGCACAAGCCCAAGCTTGAGAAGCAGCCGGCCAACGGACTGGAGCTTCAGAGGAGTGCGGGCTTCGAAGATGGGTCTCGAATGAATCAATCAGGGATCGATTCAATTGCATCCTCGGCTCAAATGCACGCAGGTCTGGGGACCTTATTGCAGGTTTGATGTGTGATAGCCCTCCCCCATGGCCCCTGAATTAAGGAACGTTCCAGACATCATTTACGCTCTCCAGGCAGCCAATTTTCCGTTGCAACAGTTGACACCTGGTGTCGGGCTGGGGGTCTTTGGAGGAGCCTCCTGCAGCACCTGCAGCTGCTGCAGCGCTGCTGCCACTCGAGCCGCGCGTCCGTGCCGCTGGCGGAGCTCGCGCCAGAGCTGGTGCAGATGCCGCACGGCCCAGCTGGTGGCAGCGGGGAAGGTTTTTTCATTGAATGTTGACCCTCAAACAAATTGGGGTGTTACTTTTTTTTTTTTTTGGGGGGGGGGACGGTGAGTTGGGGATCCCTTGTTTGAGGTGCCGGAAGTGTTCATTCGTTTTCCCGATTTCGCCTCCACAGGGTGAACAAACAAATTGGGTTCCACCCTTCCTGACCGAGTCAAGGTCCAGCCTTCACGCCTGCACCCCCTTGCCACACCTCCAAGGCTCCAAAGCGAGGCCGAGGAAGAGCCCATAGTGCTGCCGATCGAGACGCAAGTGACGGCAGACCACAACTTCTGCTCCGGCAACTTCATGCGGCTGCACGCGGCATCTCAAAACGCGGCCCGATTTATAGCCCCCAACGGGGTGTTGGGCCTTCGATTGTTAAAATTGGTGCCTGACCCACGTGCCGTGGGCTCAGCACAGAAAGCAAGCACGAACCGAACCACAACCTCGTCAATGACCAGCTTTTCGGCTCTTTATCTGAAGACCTGTCATCTTGTTTGTTCTTCACCTTCTCGTCCTTTTTTCTCCTGACCCGCTGATTTTGTTTCCCCCACCTCCCCGGCCCCCCCTTGATCAAGTTCGGCTGGCTTCGGAGTGCCGTGAGGTGCAGCTGCTGTCCACCAAAACCAAGCCCAAGAAGCTGAGCTTCGCAGCTCGGCCCAAGGGGCAATCGAGAGCTGTCCGAATTGTTGGTGACCTTTTTGTTCCCGAAAGCATTGCGATTCCGTGCGGAGCCCTTGGACAAGTTACGCAGAGCCAAGTTGCACAGAGCCAAGTTGCACAGAGCCAACCTACATAGAGCCAAGTTACATAGAGCCAAGTTACATAGAGCCAAGTCACATAGAGCCAAGTTACATAGAGCCAAGTTACATAGAGCCAAGTTACATAGAGCCAAGTTACATAGAGCCAAGTTACATAGAGCCAAGTTACATAGAGCCAAGTTACATAGAGCCAAGTTACATAGAGCCAAGTTACATAGAGCCAAGTTACATAGAGCCAAGTTACATAGAGCCAAGTTAGAGCCAAGTTGGCACAGAGCCAAGTAGAGCCAAGTTACACAGAGCCAAGTACACAGAGCCAAGTGTTGCACAGAGCCAAGTGGCACAGAGCCAAGTAGAGCCAAGTTACACAGAGCCAAGTGGCACAGAGCCAAGTGGCACAGAGCCAAGTGGCACAGAGCCAAGTGGCACAGAGCCAAGTGGCACAGAGCCAAGTGGCACAGAGCCAAGTGGCACAGAGCCAAGTGGCACAGAGCCAAGTGGCAGAGCCAGAGCCAAGTGGCACAGAGCCAAGTGGCACAGAGCCAAGTGGCACAGAGCCAAGTGGCACAGAGCCAAGGTTAGGTAGATCTTGCCTAGAGCTTCGGCGTAAGCAGCTATGTAAGTTAGTTTAGGTTTCTAAGGCGCCGGGGCGGGAGTTTGATCATCGCTCGGGATTGCGACCCTCTGCGGAGATCCGCGTGGTCGATGTTAAAAAACTGAGGACTTTTTAAGATTTCTGCAAGCCGCGCGCGACCCTCTGCGGAGATTCGCGTGGTCGAGGTTCAAAAACTGAGGACTTTTTACGATTTCTGCGGTGCGCGCGCGACCCTCTGCGGAGATTCGCGTGGTCGAGGTTCAGAAACTGAGGACTTTTTACGATTTCTGCAAGGCGCGCGCGACCCTCTGCGGAGATTCGCGTGGTCGAGGTTCAACAACTGAGGACTGTTTATGATTTCTTACATGCGCGCGCGACCCTCTGCGGAGATTCGCGTGGTCGAGGTTCAAAAGCTGAGGACTTTTTACGACTTCTGCAAGCCGCGCGCGACGCTCTGCGGGGATCGTGCGTGCTGCTTTCGCAATCCCGCGGTCGCGGGTTCGATTCCCCCCTGGCCCGCGGCATGAAAATCGCAGCTTTTAAGTACAAACGTAGTACGCAGAGCGTGCTCCTGCAGCCCCGGCTGGAAAATCGCAACTTTTAAGTACAGACGTAGTATGCGGAGCGTGCTCCCGCAGCTCCGGTTGAAAAATCGCAACTTTTAAGTACAGACGTAGTATGCGGATTGTGCTCTCGCAGCTCCGGCTGGAAAATCGCAACTTTTAAGTACAAAAATAGTACGCGAAGTACATTCCCACAGCTCCGGCAGCACTTGCGCAGAGCAACTTGCGCAGAGTCACTTGCGCAGAGCAACTTGCGCTCTGCGAATTGCACAGAGCAGTTGCACAAAGCACTTGCGCAGAGCAACTTGCACAGACGAACTTGCACAGAGCACATGCGCAAAGCGCTTGCGCGGAGCAACTGGCGCAGAGCACTTGCGCAGAGCAACTTGCTCAGAGCACTTGCGCAGAGCAACCTGCACAGAGCACATGCGCAAAGCGCTTGCACGGAGCAACTGGCGCAGAGCAACTTGCACAGACCAACTTGCACAGAGCACATGCGCAAAGCGCTTGCACGGAGCAACTGGCGCAAAGCACTTGCGCAGAGCAACTTGCTCAGAGCACTTGCGCAGAGCAACTTGCACAGAGCACTTGCGTGCAGCAGCTTGCAGAGAGCAACTTGCGCGCAGCAGCCTGGAACAATGCAGCTTGCGCAGACCACTTTCGTGAGAAATCGCGCGGCGCAGTTCGAGAGGAAACTAGGATGATGAGATGGAGCTCTCATGTGACCATACACATTGAGCATCGCCGCGTGCAGACACGCTCGCCGCAGCAATGTAAAAAGGTGTCTCCGCGGCGAAAAATGCTTTCGGGCCAATCGTCCTTTAGTTTTTTTGGGTAAGGGGAGGGGGGGGTTCGCTGCAAGTCGGCCAACATGCCGAAACTATTCAGGGAACCATTCGAGCACCGCATGTGTTTCAAAGACTCCTGCGGCAAAGAGTCGCAGTGTTCTTCCGTGCCACCCCACTGGTGGGTCCCCTGGTCGTTGGCAGCCTGAACCCCGGTTGTTCAAGGTGGCGGCCTTTTGCTCTTTGTATTTGGTGTTTCTTGCCCACAAGAAACGGTCAACCCCAAAACGAAATGGTGAAATGGTCCCCATTTTCCGCCATTTGAATCTCTGGTTGCAAGTGGATGCCGGCCGGGCGACGGAAAAAGAAACCCAGGAGGCAGAGGACGGGTCGTGGCACAGCTTCCTCCTGAAGGGCCGGGATGACCTGCGCCTGGACGGGCGCATCATGCAGCTACTGCGCATGGCGCCGTGCAGAGATGGGGCCCGGGGTCGCTCTGTTCCAAGCTTTCCGTGCAAATTATCTCTTCCACAAGGACGCGGGAACTCGCCAATCTTGGCTACTGTTGCATGTCCTTTATGGGAACCACATTCTTGACTCTTGACCGTGCATATTTGGGCGTGACTGATGTGTGGACATGATTGGGGCTTGGGAGGTGGACATTTTTTAAAGTTGGCGAGTGTTTGGACAACTGCTGCATTAAAGGAAGAAGTCCGGCAAAATGAGTGTTTGATGCGCGTAATGTCCCAGAGACGTTGTTGAAGGTGCATGCTGGGTGCAGGTTTCCAAGACGGCCTCCCTCTGGCTGGCTACAGTAAAGCTAAGTGAAGCGCTGCGTGATATTAAATCGCGAAGGACATCTTTGAGCGTCACCTTCTGCATGCTGGTTTCGCTAGCGTAGAGACATCAATAGGGTCCGATTTTCATCTGGTTTGTTCATTTTAGTGAAGCTGACGAGCAACTTGTTTGTCCGCGTCGGGATGGACCAATGGATGGATGCTCAGATGCTGAGTTTTATGGAGCTGGGTCAAAAAGGGGTTCTGTTCCAATCATACTTTGCTTTCTTGCTTGCCCTCATGAAGGAGGCAACAGCAGCAACGAGCATGGCTTGTTCAGGTACGGGCAATCGAATGATGTGTGCCAGACCTCGCGTCTGGGCTTTCCACGCATGAAGCAGGCATTTTGAAGCACTTGCCAAAACATTTCCACTCGGTTGGCTCATCTACGAAGACTGATCTCTGATGATTGATGTGTCGAGACCAGCCGCCCGAGGCCAACGCCGTTGCTCAGACCCGCTTTGGCGCCGCGGCGGTGCCGCGGTGCCGGGGATACGACGTGGTGCCCATTGCGCCCAGGAAGGGTGGGACATGGGGAAGGGGGAGGCGCCTGTGCTCGGCGAAGCTCGACGGGTAGCCGGGGATGGGGAGTTGAAAGCATTTGTTAGGTGTCCCAAGTTGAGGCAATCAAAGCCTTTACTTGCAGAGGTCGCCCCATGTTGTGACGAGTCCGCGGCTTTGACATCTGCCGACCCGGAGATTTTTTTTGGGGTGGGCGAGACAAGGGGGAAGGGTAAGTCCAGCATTGGGGGCGGGCTGACGTGGCCAGGGCGGGGCTCATCCGCTGGGTCTCCGCAGTGCCACTCTTTGTCATCCACACACAGCGGCGCCAGGCAGGCGGCCGGGGGTTCGGCCATTCGTCCTCTGGGTGCTGGGTTGGGGTATTTGGTTTATGGGCGGTTTGGTTTGGGTGCCTTGTTTTTGGGGGGGGTGCGCAATTTGGAACAACTCGCGCCCCTCCTGGTACCTTCCACTCATTTGTCCTTCTTTGTGAAGCCATGGGCGTTTGGGTAGCGCTGAGGCCCATAGCTCATAGACGGAAAACAGCCAAGCTGACTCGAAGGACTCCAAGGAGGGAAACTCAGAATGGCGCGACAACTTCCCTACACGCGCTCTTGCGGAAACCTGGAGGGAGTGTGGTTCGGGGAAGTCAGCATGCAGCGGGCAAGGTGAAGTCCAGGCACATAAAGTTGTTGTTCTTTTGCAATAGAGCAAGGTCAGGCTGGGCATGGAGGGAACCTTTGAAGTGAGCCACGTTTGATTTTTTGATGTGTTGTTGGCTGCAACTTTGTGCCCGATGGTAACCGTACAGGTATGGAAAGTTATTGTGTGGCACTGCAGCAGCTTGTGCTGAATGTGGCATGCACTAGCCGCACGTGCTGCCATCGACCACTTGGAAGCCCAAGAATGGCTACTCGCCTGGGCCGAGGGTTTGGTTCAACAGCCATCAGCTTGCTGATCCAAAGGGGTTGGACCGCACCCCAATGTCAGCTCGTCAGGTGGCCCAGAAGGAGGACACCAGAAAGGCCGGGGGGACTGCAGCAAAAGGGAGCCTCAACGGATGCACTTCAGGAGCGTTCCATGGCCGAAACGTCGGCCAGTATTTGGCCAGGTGTTAGAGCAGCAGTGGGGTAGGGAAGCTGGGCCTGCTTAGCAAACGCCCGTGTGGCTTTGCGGCGGTTTTGCTGGTTGGTGGCTTATTCATCGACAACGCGTCCCGCCCCATGGGTGTATGCGCCGTTATTGCTGTTTGGAGCTGGTTACCTTACAGAAAGTAGATTTGCGCAGCAAGCCGCTACAACCCTGAGATTTGGCAGTCATGAAACACCATAAAAGTATGAAACCAGCAAGCCAGTGGCTTCCGACAATTTAATGCTTTCCAGCGAGGCCTTGAAACCATAGCCGAGTCTTCCGATATCTTCTGATAGGTCACCTCTGCCGACCTGTGGCACCAGAAGATTCAGATGCACCTCAGGCCTCTTCGGCTCCATGTTGGTTTCGCCCTTGGGCTGTTTGCAGGAGACCGTTTGGGCTTGCCATTTCGGTTTGGCGGAAAGCGCCAGGCTCAAGTTCCGAGCGTTGTTTATGAAGAATTTGATCGGTCAATATGGGGTTTTACATCCATTGCATCCGCAGTGTGGCTGTTCAAGCGTGAAAATGTGCGAGCAGCGCACTTGGACGGTTTGTTGTTTCCTTTTGGGCCCCAAACCGGTAACCCTTGAATCTATAGGTTATCAGCCGTAGGCCCCTAGCTCTAAGCAATGGACGGTTCCCTTGTGCCAGTTGATGGATCCAACATGCCTGTGGATGCTGCCGGAGCTAGCTCCGACAACGCCACCGGCGGCGGTGTGCGAATGTTCGCATCAAGCGCTAATGCGCAGTACAACCGCACCCTGATGAATTCCCTTCAACTGTACAATACCGCAATCTTTGCTTTTGGGAATGATGCAGCCATTAGGTCTGAAGCCGAAGCCCTGCATCAAGCAGCTGTCACGCATTTGCAAGCGGAAAACCGTGAGGAGCTCCGTGTCGCACAGAATCAGCTGCATGCACACTACGCTGAATGTGTGCAAGCCCAGTCGCATAGAATTCGTGAATACGAACAGCGAGTGAGCGATGAGTTCATCCAAGAAGTGAACTTCGCTGAAGCTAGGATAAGCCAAGTGTGTGAGGAAAATGCCCAAGCATTGCATGAAGCGGAAATGGGACACAAAACAACTGAGTTTAGGCAAGCCATCGAATCCACCCTGGCGGAAGCCCAGCAGCTCCTTCATGAGCAAGCTGCCAAGCACGCCGATGACACAGCCCGTGTTGAAGCGAAAAACGCCAGGACGATTGACATGGTGGCCCACCAAAACGGGCTTCTGCAGGACGAGCTCGATGAGCTGAAGAGGTATCAGAAGCAACACGACCTCCGCGAGGATGGATCGAAGCCCAAAGGGGTAGGTGATACCTGAGAGGATTCACCAGAGTTGATGACCGACGACATGAAGTCAGCTCGGTCCCAAAGGTCAATGTTGGACCCGTTGTCCCATCCATCTCAATATGCAAAGGAAAAGTCGAGGTCGCTTGTTACCTATGACGGTTACGGGGTTGAATATACCCCTAGCGTGGTTGCAACTGCCGAATGCGAAGCACTGCCTGCAGATGCTCGCGATCCGCAAGGACCAGCTGAAAAGCCATCAGGTAGCAGCCGATCCCCGGTGAAAACAAGTGCAGCGGTCCCGCCCCTGCAATTCTCTCAGGGGCCAATGTCAAATGACCGCAAGCAGGTTGGTAAGCCTCCTGGCGGTACGCCACCTGATGATGATGGCGATGGCGATGGTGATGAAGACGAAGGTGATGGCCTCGGGCCTAACCTCGGTCAAGAAGCATTCGCCAAAATGTTGATGAAGTTAGTGAAAGGCCACACGAACGATGAAAAGCCCAGAACCCGCGAAAGCGAGACGCTGCGATTCAAGGAGATGCCAACTCCTGAAACGTACCGTGAATGGAAGACATCGGTTCGTGAGGATGTCCGCGCTGCATCTGACCGTCCAGACGAGGCTTGGCCTTGGATCATGGAAGTCTGGTCCGATCGCGAGGACAAGAAGAAGCTGTTGGAGGAGCTCGGCGAACCGGGAAAATTCGTGACCCTAGACACGAAGATTCTCGCAGCGCTCACGCGTTCAGCGAAAGGCGATCTGGCTCAGCGAATCCTAACAGCGAAGGAAGAATGTGCCAAGGAGGGAAAGGCCATGAGGAAGGCAGGTCTTGTTTATGTTTGACCAATATTTCAAGACCAGTGAAGAAGCCGGAAACCTCTACTCCTTGGAGGACCTGTTGCGTGTCTCGCGACACGGCGAAGGAATCATTTCCTAAACGCTTGGGATTCCGTGATCGCCGGCATGAAAAGGCCGCCGGAAGAAAAGGTGTTGAAAGACATCTTGCTTCGCCAAGTGAGAAGCTGCCATCTGTTGCGGTACGACATTGACACATATGATCGTTGCCGTGATGATGATCCCAACAAATCGTACGATTTCCTAATGCGTTGCATGAGGGATCTCATCGAGAGGGATAGGCTTCGCGAGAACCGAGAGCGCGTGTCCAAAGTCAATGCCAGTAAAGCCCCGACGCCCAAGGCTGGTGCTGCCGCCCCTGAAAAGAGGGACCCCAAGAAAAAGAGCGCACCTAAGCCGAAGGACACCGAGGAAAAGTACTGCTTTGACTTCCAGAAGGGCTCGTGCACGAGGGGGGCAAACTGCCCTTACGCGCACCGCAAGGAGCCGCGAGGACGCTCCGCGACCCGTGGCAGGCCAAGTTCCCCCAAAGGCAATAAAGGAGAGAAAGCACCGTGTTCTTTCTTTGCCCAAGGGAAGTGCACTAGAGGTGACAAATGCAAGTTTAGCCATGCCTCCACGGGCGGCAAATCTGCCGCCGCGGCATCGAGCAACGAGGCCAACGCAAATCCTGCGGCCAAGAAGCGTGCAAATTCACCTAAGCCTAAGCACAAGGCCAAAGCCGCTGCAGTCTGCACTAGGTACGCCATGTTTGCAAAGCCGATCAATCCGATTGGGGTGTCGTTTGACACCAATGCTCATGTGCATGAGATCCCCGCCGAAGGCGATGGTTTCAAGCTTGAGTATGAGGAGCGGCAGTACAACAGGATGTTTCCAAATGCCAAGGACTGCCCCAGGCCGACCAAAGGGACGAACAAGGCAGCACGCAAGGCCGCGAACCAGTTGAATGCCGTAATCAAAGCCATTGAGAATGGAGCCCAGCCCGCTTGTGGTTTCATGTGCGATGTGGAATCCGATTCCATCTCAAGCCTGTCATGTGATGAGTGCCTGAGAATTGCCATGCCGCCTCACGATGTTCGCAAGGATGTCGAAGCGCCAAGGGCAGCCACCCCTGCACCAAAGGGAAAGGACGTGTGGCTTATTGATTCCGGTAGTGAGCAGGACCTCATCAGCAAAGCTGCACTGAGGAATGCGTCCAAGGCAATCCGAAAACAGGCCCCACAGCCTATTCGCCTTGTGACTGCAAACGGAAACATCACTGCTTCCGAAATCGCCGACATCAATGTCGATGCATTGTGTGAGCCTGCTCAGCCTTACATCCTCGAGAGTTCTCCCGCAGTGCTGTCGCTGGGTGTGAAGTGTCTGGATCAAGGATATTCCTTCCATTGGGAATCCGGGAAGGCGCCAACCATGGTTCGCCCTGATGGTGCTCTGATCCAGCTCAAGGTTGACGGTCATGTGCCATACATGGATTCTAGCTGTGAAGCTGAGCCATCGTTGAGTGCAGTAGCAGCATCCAAGCCAGCGCCTGCACCGGTTCATGACGAAGGCATCGACGAAGGCGATGATCCCGACGACGAAGTTGAGCGGTTTGTGAGATCCCGCAAAGAGCAAGATCTGGTTGCCGAAGCGAGTACCAAAGAGCACTTGTTTGCACACTATCCGAAGAATCCCTTTTGCCGCACTTGCCAACGTGCCAAGATGCTTGCCCCATATGCAAGATCGAAGGGCGGGCAGGGAAGGCTCGAGACGAAAGCGTTTGGAGATCACATCATTGCTGATCATGTGATTCTCAAGGCCAACATCGAGCAAGGTATCAAAGGTGAATGGTGTGCTCTTGTGATCAAGGACGTGCATACGCAGTTCAGGTACGTTTATCCGTCGACCAGCAAAAGCACGGAGCAATCCGTTGCAGGGATCCAGCATTTCATTTCCGGTAGGGATGAGGTTGAGGTTCTCTACACCGATAACTCCCGGGAGTTGAAAGCCGCTATAGAGCAGTTGGGGTACCGTCATCAGACCTCCATTGAATATGTTGATTCTTCCAAATCTTTCGTAGAAAGGGGAATCAGACATCTGTTGGAGGGAGCAGTTCAGTCAGGGTTCCCACTGTCGATGTGGCCATTTGCAATCCAGCACAATGCAGTTGCGACCAATATCCTGCCACAGTTGAACGGAAACGATTCGCCATGGTACCTCAGGTTTCACAAGACCTTTGATGAAGCTGAGATACCTTTCGGAGCAAAGGTACTGTTCTGGAACAACCCTGCACGAGCTGACAATCAGGCAGGCAAGACTTCGCCAACATCAAATGAAGGCGTGTTTCTCGGGTACCACATTCAGCCTGGGTTTGCATGGAAAGGCGAGTTCCTTGTTGCAAAACTAGAAGGGCTCGATTACCATATCGAACATGCGTCCCTCACGGTACAGCGAACAAAGCGCATTGAGCTTCCGACTGATGAGTTCATCTTCCCGATGAGGTTGTTGAAAGACCCTGCATCTCATCCACCTGTTGCCGATGCTAGGACACGAAATGATCCTGTGCCGTTGGAGCGTGGGCAAGCCCACATCGAGGAACCCGCCGCATCGGAGAAATCCGAAGCGAAGATCAAGCCTGTCGTGCCTGACAAAGGCGGTGCATTCGACCCAAGCATAATGCCTGATGGGTCACCAGTACCCGATGGCTATGTGTGGGATGGGGTTCGGCTCGTCCGTAGGAAGGCCGGATCCAAAAGGCCTCCCGATATCCCGTCCGACATGTGGGTCATGCTCGGCAGCCAGGACCGAAAGGCCCTAACCCAGCAGTATGAAGATCAGCTCCGTGCAGATGCCAAGAAGGCTGTGCTCGAGACAGCAGTCTCATCTGAGGCCAGATCCGAGCACCCCGAAGCCGCATCGAGTGCAAAGCCGACCAGCGCCGCCCGCGAGGGCGAGCCGACATTGCCTGTGATCCGGCACGCGCCTGCGATGTCCGTTCTTCCGGAACGGGACAAGACGTCAAAGGAGCCGCATCGCCCGCAATTGCGTGAGTTGGTCAAAGAGCGAATCAAGAAAGTTGAATTTGATGTTGCTCTTGAACTGTTCAGTGCAGTCGTTGCTAGGCTTGTGCCAAAAGCCGAAGTAGCCAATACGCCAAAGGCCCAAGCTGCCCTTGACAAGGAATGGGAAAACCTTCGAAAGAAAGACACTTGGGATG